CTGAGATTTGCCAGCCAGCAGAGCGAGTGGTGGCCAGTCACCACTTTGAAGGGACGACCGTAGAGGTAAGGCCTAAACTTGGTCGCCGCCCACACGACTGCGAGGCATTCTTTTTCCGATGTGGAATAGTTGGTCTCGGCTCCAGAAAGAGTACGACTGGCGTAAGCTATTACATGTTCAACGCCACCATGTCGTTGTACAAGGACAGCGCCAAGTCCGACGTTGCTGGCATCTGTATGAATTTCTGTAGCAGCGTCCTCATCAAAATGGGCAAGAACAGGGGCTGTTTGCATTCTCCGCCGTAGCTCTGTGAACGCCGCATCTTGTTCTGCGCTCCAAGTAAAAGGCACGTCATCCCGAGTGAGTCGCGTAAGAGGTTCAGCTATCTTCGAGAAGTTGGCGATAAATCGGCGATAATACGCGCATAAGCCGAGGAAACGGCGTACTGCTCTTTTATTTTATGGAACAGGGAAGGCGGCGACAGCAGCAGTTTTGTCTGGATCAGGTCGCACTCCATCCGCACTAATGACATGCCCCAGAAATTTGAGCTCTTCCTAGCCGAAATGGCATTTTTGGGGTTTCAGCGTGAGTTTAGCTGTGCGAACGGCGTCCAGAACCTTTCTCAGACGCTTCAGATGTTCTTCGAAGCTCTCGGAAAAGATGACCACATCATCGAGGTAGACAAGGCAGCTTTGCCACTTCAAGCCAGCGAGAACTGTGTCCATCATCCTCTGAAAAGTGGCTGGGGCAGAACAGAGGCCGAAGGGAAGAACACGGAATTCGTAAAGTCCGTCTGGAGTCACAAACGCAGTTTTTTCTTGGTCTCGTTCATCCACTTCAATTTGCCAATAGCCACTCTTTAGATCGATGGACGAAAAATACTTCGCGCGTCGTAATCTGTCGAGAGAGTCGTCGACCCGTGGAAGCGGGTAAACGTCTTTTTTCGTGACGCTATTAAGCTTCCTGTAGTCAATACAAAATCGCAGCGTTCCGTCTTTTTTCTTCACTAGAACGACTGGCGAGGACCAAGGGCTGCTGGATGGTTGAATAATCCCGTCATCGAGCATATCTTTCACTTGTGTCTGAATAGCCGCACGTTCTTTGGAAGAAACGTGATAAGGCTGCTGCCGGATGGGGCGGACGTCATCGTCGGTAATAATTCGATGCTTGGCGAGGTGTGTTTGATGGACTTTGGAAGAAGAGGCGAAGCAAGACCGAAACTCTTTTAAAAGGTCATGAAGTGCAGCCTTTCTCTTGTCTGACAGCGTCGAATTAATGTCGATGTGGTCTAGGAATTCTTCATCCTCATGCGTTTCCTCGGACGCGAAACACTCCGTGACGTCGGCAACAGGGTCTCCATAGGCTACGGTGGTTCCGCGGAAAAGATGCCGGTGCTCGTAGTTGAAGTTCGTAACTAGTATTTGTGACTGTCCGTTACGGACACGCACAACACTTCGGGCAGCACATACACCTTGGAGTAGCAGAAGTGATAGGTTGCTTTCAGCCACCACGTCACCGTCTCGGAGGTCTTCACAAATGACTTCGATGGGAACAGTCGCTCGGGGCGCCAGCGTCACACTGTCATCAGCAACACGCAGCGCAGGTCTACGGCAGTTATCAGCGTCTCGATCTGTTGCGCCTTGAGTCGAGAAGGTCACGATGCGTTCACGGAGATTTATGATGGCACCGTATTCCCGAAGGAAGTCCATGCCGATAATCAGCTGACGTGAACAGTCGCGCAGAACGAGGCAGCTGAGGACAAACGTTGACGCACGAATTTTAACTCTTGCCGTACAGCGACCCAGTGGTGTTACAACGTGTCCTCCAGCAGTTCGAATTCGCGTTTCATTCCACGGCGTAATCACTTTCCTGAGATCTTTTGCTAGCCTCCCGCTGATAATCGAATAGTCTGCACCAGTGTCTATCAATGCATTGACCTGAAAACCGTCAATCAGCACAGGTATGTCAAGTGACACGCTGTCACTGGGTTCAGATGTGGATTTCGGCGTTCCTTCGGTACTGCGATTATTCTCTGGTTGAATGCCTTCCGTGTTGCGTGCAAGCGTCGATGGGAGGTCTTCCGCACTTTGAGTCCCAGCGACCTTGCCCCCGAAGGCCGCTGCCTTCAGTTTTCCCGACGGGGGCTTGGAGAGCGTTCCCGTGCCGTCACATCGAAACGTGACCCAGTGGCTGCGGGTCTCCTCGGAGATGGTGACCGTGATTGACGTCGTGTAAAGGGTGCACGCTTTTGCGCGAGATATTCTTCGATGTCCCTCGGCCTTTGACCAATTTGGGGACGAGGTGAATTGACGGAAAATCCACGCAGGCCAAATTGCCGGTATGCGCATTCGCGGTAAATGTGACCAGCCTCACCGCAATGATAGCAGAGGGGTCGTCTGTCGGGCGTACGCCAGATATCAGACTTGCGCGTCGGTGCACGGTGACCATCGATGTCCAAACCAGCGTGCGCTGACTGAATCGCGACAGACGGCATCATTGTCTGGATCGGGACGTATGGAACTGTCTGAAGCGGAACGTGCGGCACTGTCTGGATCGGGACGTGCGGCACTGTCTGGATCGGGACGTGCGGCACTGGCTGGGTCGGGACTCCTTGACCAGAACGAGGCGTGGCAGATCGCAAGGCTTCCGCGTACGTACGACGGCGACTGTCAGTAGACACAGGAGCCGTTTCCGGATCAACCGACATCAGCGGAAAATGATGGGCGTGCAACACCTGTTGGACCTCGTCACGGATGACACTGGTGATAGAACCAACATCGATTGGTCTTGTCCCGTACATCTTTTCCATTTCTTCCCGGACGACAGATCGGATGATCTCGCGAATCCATTCGGGGCTCTTGCTCCCAGGGGTGGCGAAAATTTCGGGGGTTGAGGCAGCATTCACTTGACGGTCAAACAGGGCAGACCGTTGGTGCAGTACTTGCTCCATTGTTGCCGCTTCAGTAAGGAACTCAGCAACACTCTTAGGGGGACTACGCACCAAACCAGCAAAAAGTTGTTCCTTCACACCACGCATGAGGTGGCGCAACTTTTTTTCCTCTGCCATAGCAGGATCCGCTCGCTTGAAAAGCCGTGTCATGTCCTCAACGTACATCGAGACGGTCTCGTTTGGCATCTGGATGCGTGATTGTAGTGCACGCTCCGCTCGTTCGCGGCGGTCGGGACTCCTGTAGGTCTCCAGGAGGCGACGCTGGAACTCGCGCCAAGATGTCAGAACATCATCCCTGTTCAAAAACCACGTCTTGGCACCGTCCTTCAGGCAAGTGTACACGTTCCGGAGCTTCGCGGCATCATCCCAGTAATTTATCGCTGCGACACGTTCGAACTCACTCAGCCAGTCGTCAACATCTTCATGCTGCTCTCCATGAAAAGGGCTAGGCATGAGCGGGTTCTGGACGGTGCAGTAGATCGGCGTGGAAGGTGTCGGAGCTTGCACGGGATCTTGTGTCGAAGTCATAGTCGCTGCGTCAGTGGTTGGTGTCTCAGGTGGTAGGCCTCGTTGGCGGCGGCTTACTCTGTGAACAGGAGTGTCCACGGGTGCAGGGCTTGTGTTCCGGCTGCTGGATGGGGTCTTGGGCATCGGGTGGATCGTGAGACGTTGTACCCAGCACCTCCACCAGTCTTGTAACGTTTCTTAAGACAAACTTGGTTTATTGGGTTCGTTGAGTCAACTAGCGAAGCAGCAGCTCAGACAGATCGTCTTTGTCTTCTTCCACTCCCGGATCTCACCCAAGCATATCAGGTGGCAATATGTACCATATCGGCCCGTTCGTGCGCGCACCACGGGCAGCCAGGTGACGGGTGCAGCGTGGACTTTAAACGGTGCAGATGGTAGGGGTTGGTGAACGTGCCCGTCTGCAGCCTTCTCAGATCCACCGCCTGCGACCTGTCCAGGCGCATGTGGGTTGCGGAAATTTCTTCCGGTCTTTCCTATAGTGCGCAAGCACGTCATGGTACGTGGCAGAAAATTCTTCTCCATAGCAGTCGGCGCACCTCTGTTGCCTCACCTCTTCTGCACCAACTTCAGTTGCCGCAGCAACGGACGTGGTGGGGGTGGTAATTTCGGCAGCGCCAGTGCTTGTGGCCACCACTGTGCCTCGGCCGGTGTTCCTCCCAACCACGGTGGTGGCTGCTCCCTGGGTGGCTGCGTCGCGGCGGGTAAGTTGCCTCGCGACAAGGTGGGCGTGCTCGTTATGGTTGGGCGGGATGCCGGTTACTCTTTGGCTGTTGGCGTTGTTGCTGCTAGTTTTACGGCTGTTGTTGTTGATAGTTGCAATGTCCCCCATGTGAGCGGGAGACCACTTGAGGGCCTTGTCAGTAATCTTGCCTGACGCGAAGTTCCCAGCTCTGGCGTTAAGCATGCGTGCCACCTCCTCGGACAACCAGCCTTTAATATAGCTCCGTATCGCTGATTTAGAATCGCTAATTATCAGGCTGTCGTCCGCACCGCTGTGGAGTACCGCTAAAGCTATGGCCATTTCTTCTGCAGCTTCGGATGATGGCAGCCGTGCTGATGCCGTGATCCGAACCTTTCCTGTTGTATCCAGGACCGCCATAGAGAAAGCAGGTCTCGCCACCGCTGACCGGACTTACTGTTGATGTTGCCGCTGTCGCTGCAGTCGCTGTTGTCGTAGCAGTAGCAGTGGCGGTAGTGTTAGCGCCTCGACTTCGCCTCGCTCGTTTATGGGTAGCGGCGGGGGTTCCGAGCGTCCCCCATCGCCGCCGCCGGCTGACAGTGGATACCTGACCGCATCCATGAAGAGGACACCCTCTTGGTTTCCATCTGCCTTCAGGATTGCTGCAGCTCTGGATTTGCGTCGCTGCAGGTAATGAACGGGGTGCATGTTCCTGGGGATGTTTTCTGTCAGTATGGCGTCCCGGACTTCCGGTAGCAGTGCTTCCTTCAGTCCACGCGCCTCATGATATCGAATCCCGAGCAGGTTAAGAATGCGTCTTCCCATTCTTGTGCCAGACAACCTCTAGAGCTGCGCGATCCTCTGCGCTTCTGCTATCTCGTCGAGGGTGTTGTGCACACCCAGTTCCAGAAGCCTACGGGTTTCCGTGTACTGGGGCACACCCAGGGCTACCTTGAACGCTCGACGAATCGCCGCGTTCAGCTTCTCAGTTTCACTTCTGTTCCAGTCGGCATACGCGGTGACATACGCTATGTGTCTCGGCGAGTACGCGTGTATTAACTTCGTCAAGTTGCGCCCCTTTAGTTTTTTTTCTTTTTTTTCCGCTATTCGACGCACAAGGTGCGTTGCGGCGGCCACTTTCTTTTGCAGTCGCACTACCAGCTCGTGGTTCGCACCGTTCTCTTCCAGCCACAGGCCGAGCACTCGTATTTTGGACACCGTTGGTATTTGAGTCCCCTTCTTCGTCATGACGCGGATGCCCAAACGACGGGCGTCCAGTACAGCCTGCGAGTAAGGTTCTTTCTCACGTGGTCTATGGAGGAGGATTTCCGATTTATCGGGAGAGCAGACGAGTACCGTGCCTTCGAGGTGATGCTCCACAGCCCGGACGGCCTGCTGCGTTCTCTCTTGCATTTCACCAACGCTCGTATTCGCTGTGGTCCACACGGTCACGTCGTCTGCGTAGATCGTGTGATTGATGCCCTCTATTGCGTCGAGACGCTCCGGTAGTCCGATCATGATGAGGTTGAAAAGCATGGGAGAAAGCACCGAGCCCTGCGGCGTACCAGCACCCTCCCATGTCAACTGTTCGTGGTGGGGCACCGTTGGCCTTCACCGTCGCCTTGCGTCCTGTCAGGAAGCTACTGACGTACCGGTGGGACCTTGAACCAAGACCTAGTTGGCTGATCTTGTCCAAAATGGCAGCATGTTTTACTGTCTCGAAGGCACTTTTGATGTTTAACCCGAGCAGAGCGCGCGCGTGCGTGCTTGGTGCGTTAACGACCTGTTCCTTGATTTGCAGCATAGAATCCTGCGTCGAAAGTCCTCTGCAGAAGCCGATAATGTGAGTGCCAAAAGCATCCCGCTTCTCGAGGATCGTAGTCACCCTGTTGAGGCAGGCGTGCTCTATGACTTTCCCGACGCAGGACGCCAGAGATATCGGCCTCATATTTCGAACCTCAAGCGGTTTACCTGGCTTGGGTATTAGTATGGCATCCGCTGTCTTCTATTCTTGTGGAATACGGCCTTCCTTTCAGCATGCGTTGATGTACTGACGTAGCTTCTCGATGGCGCCATCGTTCAGGTTCCTCAGAATTCGTTTGGTGATCTTGTCAGGACCGGGCGCCGATTTAGTCTTCAGTAGCTGGAGGACTGATCTAATTTCCTCCATGGAAAATTCCGTGTCTAGTTTCTCGTTGGAAGCCCCGCAGTATTCCATGTGACTCGCCTGCCGGGTGAGTGAGGTGCGTCTTTGTGATCTCCACGAAGGCCTGCGGGTCATCTTTGTACTTGTGTCACAACTTGGCCATCTGGACACGAGTCGCCGTTCTCGTGCTGGTTGATTCCAGCAGGCGCCTGAAAATCTTCCATGTGCGCCCTGCACTCATGTTTCCGTCCATCGTATCGCACTGCTCCTGCCATTCCTGTTCGCACAGTCGAACGCAGTGGGCCTCAATCTCTCGGGTGATCTCGGCAATCTTCTTGCGTATCTTCCGGTTTAGTTTCTGCTGACTCGCTCTTCGCTGTAGATGTCTTGGCTTGTACAAGATGCGCAAGCCGGCTGTCCACCCTGGACGGCTCGGGAACGCTGTAGTCGACGCTTCCGCAGGGCCTGTCGCCACCTTCAGGTTCTTTTCGCCTGTCTGCCCATTCTATTTTTTTTGTAGGTTTTCTACGTCCGTGAGTAGTTCCCTGCACCATTCCCCAATATCCTCGATCGGCCCTTCCTGCTTCTCTCGTTCTCTTTGCTCTCGAAACTTGTCCCAGTCTACGACTCTAGCTTTTTGGCAGCCGTCCATCTTGCCTTTATCCTCTCCCATTGTCATGCACAGAATTCTGTGGTCGCTCCCCAGATCCTCAAAGCTGTTCGACCAGGTGATCGCGCCCGCGTCTGACCAAATGGAGAGATCGGGGGACGTGTCGCGACACGCGCCCTGTCCAATGCGGGTGTGCAATGCCGGTTCATTGAGTAGAACCAGGCCAAGCTCGTCCATCAGTTCGGCTAGCCTTTTCCCTTTGGGCGAGTCGGCTTCATATCCCCATTGCGTGTGCGGTGCATTGAAGTCTCCACAGATTAGGAGGGGACTGGAGGCGGTCTTCACCATCGCTTCGCGAAAAAGGGCGCCAAAGTTGTGCGTGAGGCTCCTTATTGAAGTGGGGCTGTACACGTTAAGCACGAATAGGCCGGTCTTCCTGTTTCCAATGCAAGGCACGACCTCAATCAGGTTGTGGTCTATGTCCAACTCCTCGCTGATATCAAGTGAAGGGTCGACAAAGGCCGTCCCTCTCTTAACCAGGGTACACACCTTTATGTCCTTCCCCGTGCATTCGCACGGAGAGCCACATACCACATAGCCCGGTAGCTGAGCCCGGTCGAAAGGTTCTTGCAAAGCAATCACGTTGGGAAGTTTGCTTTCGGAGAAAGTTTTCATATATTGCACCATTGTAGCTTTTTTGATTTTGAAGCCCCTACAGTTCCATTGCCAAACGGTGCGTCTGCCGACAAACTTCAGTGTGGGTGGCGTTGACATTGCTGCTTCTGTTGAGAATGGTCGATGCGTCCCCTCCCAATTCGTCGTGGCCTTGTCCCTGTTTCTGCAACTGCGCCGTCCCGCGTTCCGGATATTCGATGCGCTTATTCACGGCCGCAAGTGGGTTATTGACCGCGGCATACTGTGCGTTCCTTTCGGTGTCAGACTCGTTCAGCCGAATGAGGTGCGCCTCAAACAGTCACTCTGTTTTGTTGGTTTGTTTGTCTACCATTTCTTCGACCACGTCTATCTTTTGGCCTGCCGGTCTTGTCCGCTTCGGTTCTTGCGTGCGATTTTTAGCGCCTTCAAAATGTTGAGAACCGCTTGAGCTCTTACGCTTAAAGCCCACCGCCACCGACGTTTCATATTCACCTCCACAGCACATGTCCGTGTCCCCGTCTGCTACTGCTGAAGTTGTGTCGCGTTCATCGGCAGCTCCATGGGACGAGGAGGCGCCAGAGGATGGGGTCTCTGCGGGGTGTCCTCCCATTCGCTTGAGGATTTCGTTCAGTGTCTGTTGTAGCTCCTCAATTTTCCGCGTTGATTTTTCATTCTGCTTCTGGCCTTGGCCAACTCTTGTCTAAGCTCCCTATTCTCTTTCTCCATGTTTTCCATCCTCGCTGCCAGGCCGGGGTCGGCGGCTGCCCACGGGCGGCCGGAGAGATGGTACCCCTGTGCGGAGTCCGCCTTTGTTCCCGTGACTATGTCGCGCCAGGTGATTTTGCGCGGCCCTCTCTGTTTCCCGCCTGGTGTGGCCCCTCCTATGTCTTGTTGGGGGTGGTGTCGGTTCTCGCTGTGGCTTCTGCTCCGACTCCGATTTCTGCTCATACTACGACTTTTGCTCTGTCTTTTTACCGGTGAGGGGGATCCGGATCTGGTTTAACGACCCATGACCTGTTGGGAGCGGGTTCTGGATTTCGAGCGACTAGGGCGGCCTCCTTCCACCCCACCAGCATTGCTATCTGATGGTGACGGGGTTCGCTCTTGAAAGTCTCTGAACCTGGCCTTCCACCTTCTTTGGTTTACTATGTGCGGCACCTTGTATTTGGCCTCGCACATCCGGTCGGTCGTGGGGTGCGCCTCGCCACATATTCGGCACTGGGCCGTATACTCGTGTCCATTGATGGTGTTCTTTAATCCGCAAATTGGGCACAGTTTGGTATCTGGTCTTGGACACACGTCAGGTCTGTGGCCGAGCCTGCCACATTACTTGCTGAAGTCAATCTATTTCCGGTACAGAGATACTCTTATCATTACGCTGTTGAAGTAAACCCACGTAGGAACTCGGTTTCTTTCATAGAGCAGTATCACGTTGGTCGCACTACCGAGCCTATTCGCATACGTTAGAGAGGGGTTTCTGTGTTCCCCAGTGCTTCCACGAGCTTATCTTGATTATATTTAAGAGGTACATTGCGTATAATTCTTTTTGTTATATTCTCAGGCGCCGAAACATATGCGTTCGTTTCGTACCTCTTTTCGCTGAGAGTCAAAGCCTTGATCTTGGCGATTTTCGTCGCTGTGCTTTCCTTTGATGTACTTATCACCAAAATGTTTTGCGTGGGGTTGGAGCAGATTGTGATCATCTCGTGGTCACCCACGCCTGCTCCATTGCGTATCGCCTCATCAAGACTCACCGCACGTGCTCCTTATATTCAGCCCGTCCCTCGGTCGAACAATTACCTTGATATCGTCCCTGTTTACTCGTAGAACCATGCTGACAATGCTTCGGCGGCCTTGGCGCATCGGGCTTGGAGAACGGACGTCTTCTTGTCTCACCGCCTTGTTGTGGCTTGCGCGTCCTCTTTTTTTGTGTGTAAATTCAATCCAGCCATCTGCAACGCTGTCAGCGTCTTCGTATTCACTCGTGGAAACGCTTCTTGTTCGTTCAGTTCCGTGGTCTGTGGCTTCCCTGTCCCTGCCTCGTCTAGGTCCATATCGGCTGTTCTTTCAGTCTTCGAGTTCGACGCGGTATGCGCCAGGCCCAAACACCATTAGGCCAAGACGCTCAGTCGTATAGTCCTTGCAGTTTACGAGCCTTAAAGCTCGTTAAGCTCACGCTCACCCAAAAAGCTGGTATCCGTGGGTTCGCGATGACTTGATCTGTCCGATGATGTGCCACTTTCAAGGGTAAGTTCGAAAAACCTGCGGAAACATTCACAAATCGACGGAGCCGATGTGGCATGCGTTTGCTCCCACTGGTGATGGTAGCGCCTCCCCCTGTCGCAACAGAGGACTCCCTCTTTAGATAGGAGAAAAGTCTGACGAATGATCAGAACGCCAGGAGACACGATGTGTCTTGGATGTCGCGTAAGGGGGCAGTGATACGGGATGCAGTGTCGTTGCGTTACACGATTGTGGGGCCGATGGCAACGTTGCTTCGAATTAGGCAGGCTTGAGACGTTTGAGACTGACTGTGTCAGGCCTGCCATTGACGTTCACAACGAATGTCGACGAACGACGTTCCATAACTCTATAAGGCCCGTACCATACCATCCCCAAACGAATGGTTTTGTAGAACGTACAAACCGAACTCCTATTAACATGCTTGTTATGTACGCCTCGTCCAATCACAAGAACTGGAATGAGATTTTACCATTTATTACCTACGCATACAATTCAGCGAAGCACGAGACTATGGACTTCACGCCTTACTACCTGCTCTACGCTCGATCACCACGCAGCTTCCTCGATACAATCCTGCCATTTAAGCTCCACGCCGACGAGTCCGTGTCCGCGACATTGTGCCGAGCTGAAGAAGCCCGCCAAAGTGCTTGTTTGCGCAGGCTGTCATCACAAGATCACTCCAAGCAATGATACGATCAACGTCATGATGCCATCTCATTTGACAAAGGTGAATTTGTGTAGTCGTGGACCCCCCAACGGAAACGTGGTTTATGTCATTATGCCGGAAGTCTTTACCGCAGTATACAGGCCCCTTCGTCATTGCAGATCGCTTGAGCGACTTGACGTACGTTGTGGCACGCTTGACGATACCTCGTCGTCGGTCAAATCGAACGCAGTTGGTGGAAAGCGGCTCGCCTCAAAAAGCTTCACCCCCCCTCCCCCGGTGACTTGTACTCGCCCAGCAGGCTTCGTCTGTGTGTGAACCGGGGAACACTACGGTATGAGCCGGGCTGCGGTATGTGCCGGTGATGTGGAGGAAGAATAGGAGGTTGTCTGGTGTGGCCTGATGACTCCATCTTTATTTCTGATATGCTCAACCTCACCCTCACCTTGTAAGTAAACCCAGTCATCCTTTATTCAACCGTAGCTATGAATGTAGTCTATTGTTGAGTAGTCTGTACGAAATATAGCCTGGTCCTCTGGTTGATAAAGGGCCTCTGACACCAAATTTGGAAATACGAGATGCTTGTGTTGTTTGAGAGCCCTCTATGCGGAGGTGGGAGGTGGAAGGGGG